TTGCTTTGTTGTGTCCACTAAAATATCAATGCATAAATTTTCCAAAGACTTTCACATTTTGGACTCAAAATCAATGTCTACAAGTGTGGAGAACGAAAAATAAATTTCCTCGGATATGAAATTGACCACGAAGATATTTCACTTTAACCAGACAAATTAGAAGTAATTACTATTTTTCCGCAACCAACGCTACTAAGACAATTGCAAAGATTTATAGGCCTTATCAATTATTACAGGAGATGTATACCCAATTGTTCAGCGGTGCTATCAGCTTTGACGAACCCATTCAAGAACAAGAACAAAAACATTACGTTAAAGGAAAACGTTCTAGAAGCATTCAACAATGACAAAACAGCTTTAGCTAATTTCACTAAGCTGAATTACATGGAGGATAGCGAGGAAATTAAACTTACCGTCACAACAGATGCTTCATCAACAGCTGTAGGGGCGGTTTTACACCAAATCTTGGACAAACAAGTCACACTTATATCTTTCTTCTCCGCCAAACTAAACACACTATCTAAGTACAGCACACTTTCGGGAGAGTTATTAGCAATATATCTTTCCATTAAACATTTTCAGCACTTCCTGGAGGGCAGAGATTTTACCATATATACAGACTATAAACCATTAATATATGCATTACACATACATACTAACAAACATAATCCTCGGGAAATCGGATAATCAAGTGCCACAATTGCTTCTTTAGATTCTAGTTCTTTGAACCTCGAATCAAAGCACATCACTAAAATTAGTTGAACTACCTGTTTCATTAAGTGATACAAAATTTATTGTGACATTCCACAAACTCAACCACGGCCTTACCACCAAATTTGAGACAGCAGGTATTCCAACACTTCCATACATTGTCTCACCCAGGAAAACGTACAACTGTGAAGTTAATTACTGAACGTTTTGTCTGGCCAAATATGTCAACTGACATAAGAAATTCGACAAAATCTTCATCATACTAGAAGACCAAGATAAATAAGCACATCAAATCACCCGCAGGCACATTCATCCCACCTGATGCAAGATTCACGAACATACATGTTGATATTGTAAGACCCTTACCTTGGTCTCAATGATATACATATATCCTTACTATCATAGATAGATTTACTCGCTGGCCTGCTGCAATAGCAATCAAAGATATTACAGCCACAACAATAGCTAAAACTATCTTTATTGAATGGATCGCAATATTTGGTGTACCTTCAGTAATCGCAACAGACAGAGGAGCTCAGTTCCAGTCTACGTTATTTAGAGAATTCAATCACCTACTCAGAAATCGACACATAAAGCTTACAGCCTATCATCCTTGTGCAAACGGGATGATAGAACGTTTTTACAGACAACTGAAAGCAGCGCTAGCAATGAAACAAAACTAATTGGCTAGAAAACTTACCTCTGGTACTTTTATCGATCAGAAACATTGTAAAAGAGGATTTGGGTGCCTTTTGTCGTGTCCACTAAAATATCGAATACAATATTTATAAACTAATCACAATCCAGAAAATACTTACATCTTAAAACACACCAATAAAATCATAGAATACAAATCAGAAAGTTTGTTGTATTAGTCATCATTATTTTTAGGTAGATATCGCCCAAATATCGTGCGGACGTAGTAGAAGACATACCAGTGGTTTTTAGGGTCAATTAGGAATAAATAAATAATTTAATTCTGGAGCCGATTTTGTTACGAAAAAGTGTATAAAACATACGTAATCTGTTCGCAAACAGGATACACACAGCTGTCATCAAACTCCACGCAACTCTCGCTTATGATCTTCACGACCTCATGCTAGACATGTCATAATAGATCAATCCATCTTAAATCAACAATTTTTTGCGGCAGTTATTAACATCAACTTGAGATTTTTCTTGTTAAAAAGATGAATAATTTTAACATATTCAATATTATAGATAAAAAATAGTAAATTTTATATATTTTTCGCGTCTTCGCATTAGCAAAACAAATTCACGGATTTGAATGAAAAAATAACTCAAATCTTTCATCCTTTTATAGTCAGTTGTGCTTAGTTTAATTTGTAGCATATATAAATGCATGTAAAAAATAAAATGTCGGTTAATAACAGAAATGAGGAAATACTGAAAAAAATGATTTACTAGAGTGCTGATATATCAAGCTTCTTAAGATGGAATGATCTATTATGACAAGTCTAATGTGTATTTGGATAGTTTGTGTTTATTTACACTATTTTCATCTCAGAAATATAGACAGATATTGTATTTATTTTCAATTTTCTGCATGACTTGTTCACTTATATTGCATATGATCCATAATAATGGATAAGTTATGTTACAATAAAATTGGTATTCTATATGAATACTACCTTATGAAACTTGAGATGTTGTAGAGTGCAGGGCCCCGATCATATATTCGGGGTGGGGAACGAAACTCATGTACCGGCCCTAGTCAACTCCATCACTAGCACTTAATTAACCCCAGTTAAATTATTACCTTCTTTAATTCATTTCTATACGTATTGGTATCGTTTTATGGTGAGAAAATAAACCCACTTAATATTTTGAACAGTAAACAGTATCAGCGTCTATGCCAGTAGTAATAAATTAGTCTTCTCTTTTATCTAACTTTCTGTTAACATTTACATCATTATCATACGAGGCGGTATTGAAACGTTCTAGACTCGACACATCTCCCAAAATCTGACCAAACATCAGATTTAAAAGAAAATCCTTTCTTGTTCTGGCCGAGAATTTTTCAGCATCATTCTCCGTATGGACAAAATTGTTAGTCATTAGATTTTTTTAAAACTTTCACAGCAAAACTGATTAAGTTAGGGTTACCGTCGTTCGAATTCGAGTTAGTGCAATATTATCGATTGTCCTTGTTTTGTCTGGGTCAGAATTCAGCGGATATGAATGATTGATTGTAAGTGATGATCTACTTTCATTACAAAGCATTCGAGCCTTATGAGATGAAGGGTGTGAATGGAAGAAGCGTAATTCATTTTATGACAGGAAACAGGAAAAAACTGTCGTAAAAGACATAAGTGAAAAATTTAGAGGAACTATGTCGTGAGTATAAATTAGAGATTGTTGTCTGTAAATACCAGGGAAAAACTGAAATAGATAAAGATTTTATTATATATATATATATATATATATATATATATATATATATATATATATATGGGGGGAGAAAGAAACTAAGAAAGTCTTGAAACGCAGAAGGTAGCAGCAAGTATATTAAAGACAATTTAAGTGACAGAAAGGCAAAGGGTGTAAATATGGATATCAAATCTGAAACAAGCTCTAATCAATGGAGCACTTGATATTTATATAATGTGTGATGTGGTTGCAGAAATTTTCTGACAATTATGACTGGATTCTCCTGCTTGTGTAGCATGGTGCAGAGTCCTGTTGCCAGACATAGGGCCTTCCATCAATCACACTCTTGACCCGGGGCAGCACTACCTCCTCCGTGTTGAGGCTGAGGCCATGTCGGAAGATGAATGGAGGCAAAACGTCGCCATCACTAGTGATCACTCCAAACACCTTCGTAATCACCATTAGACTCATCCAACTGTTTCCGAATCTTCTGCACTGTCCTCAGATTGACATCCAAACACTGAAATGTTCGTATTGTAATTTCCGGCACGAATACCAAGCAGTACAGCATGCCGTTTCCAAATTTCTAGATGTGTGAATTGCGTCATGGTGCTCTTTTTTTCACAGACGGTGGCTAACTAACCTTACAATACTGTGTAGTTGACAACATTTAAAAAAATGCGCATGCGCGTAATCAAAGATATAAAATGGCTACAATTTACCCATCGCACTCTGTATACATAAGACGCAAAATAATTAAAACAGTGATCTTTGTGACAACAAGATATAGAAATAATACGGAACTTACTGATTATGTGTAGTGTAAAAGATTAATTATTTACGCGTTAAATTGCCCTACATTTTGACTTTTTTGAAGGATGAATGAAGCACTTTTTATTAAGTATATTGTGTCTTACCAACGCTACACACAAGCCGCTAGTGACCTGCTGGAGGGCCGTCGATGGCATTCCCGGTCCTCTGATGGCAGCCACCAACAGGCCACCGGTGGGTCTCTAGCGGTAAACGGTAGTGCCATGCTACCGAATGGCAGATTGGTGGCTTGCGTGGATGGAAATATTGATTTTTATCAAGAACTGGATTTTGTAAAGAATATATATATATATATATATATATATATATATATATATATATATATATATATATATATATATATATATATATATATATATATATATATAGAGAGAGAGAGAGAGAGAGAGAGAGAGAGAGAGCAAATAAATAGTTGGAAGACTTCTGGAGAGATGTTGACTTATACAGTCTCGATAGCTGTACTTTGCTGCTTGATATGTTTAGGTGTAAATTTAAAGCGTTCGAATAGACCTTTGCCCCCACTTTCTTAAATTCTAAATTGAACTCATGTTGGGCGAACGTGGTTGTAATACCGTTACACGGAAGTTTCCACAATAACTCTCAAACCAATTCTGGGCAATTTGGGCCCGATAACATGGGACATTAACCTATTGTAATAACCATATGTGCAAATGGTCAGTAAGAAGTGCAAAGTATCTGTCAACGGCCAATGACATGTAAAAAGCCGACCCAACCCATGTTACAAACACACCAGGTCTTAACGTAGAACTGATATAAGATTAGGTATATCTAATACCTCAAATACACACACACAAAAACACACACACACAGAAGCACACAAACCCACACACACATATATATGCGTATATATATAACAGCAATCTGATGCTCAATCTGTTTTGAAAAAAGAAATTAACCCACAGAAAAAACAAAGAGACGTGAAGTTTTTCATAATTCATTATTTAAGTGCTATTATTATTATTATTATTATTATTATTATTAGTAGTAGTAGTAGTAGTATTGGTAAAGGAAGAATTAGTAGTAGAAAATTACCGTCAGAAATGATTTTATTCATAAAAACATTTTACATCTGTTACATCAAAACATTTCGATGTCTTCCCATCACCTTCGTCAGTTGCCAACCATTGTTCACATACAAACGTATACTCTATGTAAACCGGTGATTCTGGCATTTTCTTGACGTTATTCTTGGATTTTTCCTTTGATACGACATTCTTCTGAACCTTGTTATTTTCTTCATCGGAAATCTCAGAAATATCCGAAAGATCGTTACTTCTGAAGGCTGCCTTTTTATTCTTCCGGTGCATTTTGATCGTAGATTTACAGGAAGCGCTTGTTGCACGTTTCTTGTTTTGCCCGTAGCTTCGAATCACGACCTTAAAATGTAAGGTAAATCAGCTTTAATTTTAAAAGAAAAAGGTAAATAATAATGCTCATCGATCAATGAATGTAGAAGTCTTAACATAAAAGAGAAAATTATTAAATAGAGAATAACATAAACATATGGTTTTTTCCTTTCCCTATGGTAGAAATGGAATAAGGTAAAACCATATAATGTACTGTTTTTAAATTTTTGGTATCTCAGTTTATAACTCTTTATTCCATGCCTTTGCAATGTTGAGGATATAGTTCTTACATTCAACTTAGGGAAAGTTAGATTATGTATGAAACTTTGCAGAAAAGTTCTCGATCAGACCAATAAAGAAATACAATAGAATTTTTTAAACCTTAGGTCACATTTAGGGAGGTAGGTCAATACAGCAATCCCGTGTATGTATGACGTAATAGGTAACGGCAAAGTGTAGCTGTAACTGAGTAGGAATGCGAACATGATTTAACAAAATTTGCCCGCTGAATGTTTGTGGATGCCAGAAATATGGGGCATTTTATCTCCGACGTAGCAACTGCCTTGGTCATTTCTCAGGCAAGGGTATATCAGCTATATGTATATTCCGGACAGACATCAACATCACTTGAAAACTGTGAGCATCCACAGGTACAACAAAAACGAAACGGACAGTGACAAACCAGGATGATAACCACTCATTGAATAGGCTCATTGCTCCAAATCATATACTAATTCAACTCTGGTGCTGATCAGCACATCAGTCAACGTACTGTACAGCATAAACTACATTTCATCGGGTTTCACCATTAGCATCGGTTACCGTGCTTCTTAACATCGCCATTGTGTTGTGGAACACTTGTGTCGTTCGTCTAGTCAGACAATTTCCCGCACTTTCGAGCAGACGTTCCAGTTCATAGATGGGGGAGATTACATGAAACTAACGCGTTATAAGAGTGTTGTGAAAGTTAATATTGGCTCTGTAATTATATGAGGTGTATTCTGTTGAACTTCGCAAGGAGCACTGATAAAACTCAAATCTGCCTTGACATGTGTGACACACATATCTTGCTGGATGCAGAACATTTACACTCCTTTCCTTTTCGCCTTGTTTCCGGATGATAATGCTTTGTTTTAGATAAATAATGCACACCCTTAATTATGCGCGAGTATCACAAAACTGTCTTCAGGAACACTTGGGCGACTTCCAGTTTTTAACTGTCGCGTTGACCAAAGTGAAACCCTATTGCGCTTGTATTGAATGTGCCGCAGAGCTCATTAAATTCCTAGTCACATCTAAAGAGCACAAATTAAATCTAGATATCCCTGGAACGTGCACCTTGTAGACTCCAGGCCATGTCGGGTAGCAGGCATTATTCAGGGGAAAAGAGAGGCTACGTGTTATTTAGTCACCATCTTTAATATTCTGATGCTTCAGTTTACATTGAACTTTAAATAAAACCTTTATATTGTGAAGTGATATTCCACAATCCATAGCATTTAATTTCATGAAAGGAGATATAACAGCAATAACATAATCCTTTAAGATATGGGAACATTCCCCCATTCTAGAAAAAAACCCTTGCAAATAATCTGGATCAATTAAAAATCCGGGAAAGTATTAAGACAGTGTTGAGCAGAGCATAAGAGAAGCCTGTGAGAATACTATGTAGTCGTTATTAATTGACCTAATTATTAGGAAACTGGTGAGATTATGTGATATAATATATTTCTATGTAAGAATAGTCATATACACTAAATACAAATACCTGAATTAAACATCTATTTTATATTATTGGAAACAGGGTTAGAGTACTCATTTCTCGTTTGTGATCATCTTTTGTTTCCTTCGTGCTGCAGATATTTACCAATTTTTGGTTCACGTAAACGAGAATCGAGATGCAACATAGAGGAGTCATTCGTAGGTCGATGGATAGAAGTGAAGGAAGTTGTATAGATTCCCCTTTATGGTAGGTGAAGTCTGCAAAAATTAACCTGATTTATGGTCATCTTACAACAATATATAAGGGAATTAAGTTTTGGCGAGTACATCAGGAAAATTTCGGATTTATTTTTTTATTACATTGTTATATTGTTAAGCATTTATTGTCACCAAATAGTAATTTCCGTTAAATCTTGTCGTCTATGGTTGAGTCGGTACCATTTGTAGATAGCGGAACAAATTTTATGTTAAATTATTACATATGAATTAGAATGTGCAATAAGTGGAATTGGCGAGCCGACTTTAAATTGCTTCCGAGTCTGCTTCATTCCCTTTTGCATTAATGCTCTTCGCGTCTTTCCGCAGTTATGTATTAAATAGCAGAGTGGACTAGGACTTCTAGATTTAAGTGAAAGTCAGTCTGAGAAAGGCTGCCCTGAATACAAAACCACAGAGAATGCGTTAGGAAGCAGCACCAATCTCTTTCCCATTATATCATAAATAACAACGAGTGGGCACACTGTGGATAGTCATAATCGTCTGTGTCAAGGGTGGCCAACCCTTTGATTCCATGCACCATTATTTTGTACGATTAATTTAAATGCGCCACACACACATTCACTTCCTTTCAGTACGTGTTGTAATATGGACATATTTTAAAGTTATAATAAAATCTGTTTATTTGAAAAATATATGCTTATGACCAGGGGCATATCCAAGAGTTTTGAAAGGCGGGCCATCAATCAATTCTTTGACTTTTTTTTTCTCTTCAGATTTTGGCTTAGTTTCTTTTCATCAAAAGGATGCAATGCGCCACTTGTAAGCATCCAATGCGCCACTTATGACGCATGCGCCACTTATGACGCATGCGCCACAGGTTGGCCATCCTTGGTCTATGTTATGAAGTGACAATGCATTAAAAACAGCGTTGCATCTGACCGGATGTTATACTTGTTATATTTCCAGAGTTGTTATACATTGGCTGGTACAAGTTAATTCCTTGTAGAGAATTTACGCTGCATTTCAGAGGTTTAATAATTATATGTATTTGACTTGATATTATGGCACTGGGAGAGGAAACATTTCAGTAGAGTACGTTGCTGATTTTGCCATTTGTATTTTTATCATTTTGTTTTGATTCGCAAATCTCGTAGGTAGCATAATTCTTGTAGAATAACAGAATTCTTAGGATTTACGTGCTGCTCAAGTTCTACCGTTTTCATACAAAGTAGCGAGTGTAATAGTAAAAAGATGATGTTAGCAGTGAAGTAGTCAGTAAACGATCCAGATGGACACTATAAATTTGTCATGTCCTCTCTGGCTACATACATAGCTATAGATCTCTGTCTACCGTAATGCACTAGATGGCTATTGACTCTACAAGAAGGTTCATCCGTCCTCTAACAGATCTTGTTTCTAATCCAGCCGGGTGTCTAACCACTCTCTACTCTCCAGAAGAGTCTCGTGGGTTAACCGGTTTAGTCGCCGATGATCCGACCATGCGGTAAGTAGCACTCGGTTACTAAGAATGCACTAAGCACGAAAAATGCATCTGATGTCCTAGTAAAAGTCCAAGGAGTTAACATCAGAATTCAAATAGCGATTATTTAGACTATGGTACAATTGAGATTAGTAAAGATTCAGTAAGTGAATAATGAAGATTTGGTAAGACTTGCTGTCACTTGATCGCTGCCAATGATGATTTGAAGTTCCGGCAGATCAAGAAAAGACAAGGGATCTAGTTCTTTGGAAAAAGGAAAAGTGATTCTGACAGATCACTAGAGTGTTTTTTTCCGGCTGACCACATGTAAATATAAGAAAAAAAAAATGGAAATTACTAGTCTCATATCCGAGAATTTAGGAAGCTGTGGAAAGTGAGGAGTAGTCTATATTGATTGGTGCGATGGAAACACACCCAAAGATCTTAGAAGCGAAAAATGGAAATCCAAGGAAACCTTGAGACTACGGAGGTGTTGGGGATTTGAGAAAACTCGCTATTACTTGATCCCCAGTGACTACCACATCTGGTGCGAACATTCAAATACAGAAAAGTGTTCATAGGTATAATTGTAAATTTAACTAAGAGGACGATACCCTAATATTGAGCAAGATACAGAAAGGTACTGACCTCTTTTAAGTACCAACCAGCACCTACTCCACTGTTGTCATGTCCAATCGTAATTCGATTAATGTGCCCAACATCGACCGCTTTCACCTGAAACAAATAAAAATAAATTCAGAAACATTACTTTATTCATGCACACACAATACAAAAATCATGCGACCGACTTCATAACCGCTATTACCAAAATGCTTTGTTCTCCCGCTTTTGATTCAAAAGAAACACTATCTTAAGAACCTGTTTCTAAAGTTAAGGCTGTTGTTGATAATACAAATGAGAAATCCGTTAGTCAAATTTTTCATTCAATTGAAACAATGGCAGTATATAGAACGCAATAAAATGGATAAAAACAATCGCCCGATATTCAAACAGCGAAAAGAAAGCCTTTCCGTGGTTAGAATTTTTTTCTTAACTTACGTAAATTAAGCTAGAGTTGTTATTCCATTAAACGTGTATCATATATGCACACGCGTCCTATGATTATTTACTAGTCTTAACATAGACTGACACAAACCCATTTTAATGAGGCCACTATTTCCGAGTGTGTTCATCGACTAGAAGTGGCTATATCCCAGACACCTGCTCAAGCACATTTGTCTGTCTTCAGCAGCCACAGATCCAACCTATTGTTTAAACTGCAACTACGCTGAGAGGATCTTATTTACAGTTTTTCGGTGACAACCATTGATGGCTTCCGAACGGTCAACTTCTGACATGGTTTTCAGAAACTTCCCCAATAGTGCGGAATGCTGGGATTGTCTCCCCAGGCCAATATCAGCCAGAAATTATTTCCATGACAAATTAATTATGGTTAGATTCTAATCACTCAACTAGTGAGACCACATTGAGGATAGAACTGAGGACGTCATAGGAACTCTTTTCAGAGGTCCTGTATGGCATCAAAAAAAGAAATTTGTTGAAAGCATTTAAAAATGCCCTTCTCAGAACGTATTTACAATCATTAATTGTTTGAAATTCTCCCCGTCAGGGATTTTTCAACTTTTTATGATACAATTAAAATCGTTTTTGTTCTTTTCTTTTTTAGATATAATTTTCCTAATGTTACATGATAGTATTTATTATATTTTTTATATTTATTATCCTGGAAGTTAAAGCTATATATGATATAATTCTGAACTAAATACTTATTATATATGTAGATATATAATGCTATAAACTGGTTTTTGTGACGTGTATTGAAATACTTATTTTCCCACTGTAGATAAGAATTTAATCTATTTCTTACAATAGCTAGGGCGTTAAAATGGCAGTATCACTGCGAACGTGACTTTTTTCAGTATAAATTACTAAAGAAGATATTCCTTATCACAGAAATTGCGTAATCAGAGAGAATAGCACACGTCAACAAAACCTAATGAAACTAATCAAATAAACATCGCAGAATACGCCCTATAAAAATGTTTAGTTTCACTTATTTACAGTATTTACACTATCTTAGTGATTCAGTTGGTGGATCAGTAAGTCCGTAGACTGATATTGTCATTAGCTGATATTAGATCTGACATGTTCACTGTATAATAGTTGTGAGCTGAAAATTAGTCATGATCTCACACCGCGTGAAGAGAGACGAGACGTGATAGATAATGTTTGGTCGACCCATGCGATTAATCAAGAATCGTTGGATTAAGTGTATTGGCAAAGGAAGAGATTATACCGAAATAAAAATATTTATAGCGTAAAATAAATGCATTTTTTCATAATTAGTGGACAGAATTATCGATGAACCTACTAGTATCTGGACAAGACATTTGACAATGTTACAATTTATGTGACTAAATTTTTCCAAGTCTACAAAAATCTAAGAGATTATGTAACAGAACCAAAAAGAAATGAACGACAAAGCAGAGGGCAAATATTTGTTATGGTGGTTATTGACAATTCGTGAATATATTATAACCTAATCGAAATGGTAAAGTGAAATTAGCCGTTTCTATACAGGAATCATCCGGCATTCATTGACTGAATTGTTGACCGATTGTAATTTATAATTTTTTAAAGCAGTTTTTCAGGAAAATAAACTTCTTTAAACCACTATTATAACTTATTCTCGTATTGATACTTGTTTCCTCCCTAACCTTTTGTTTTTGGTAATTTGGAAAGCTTAATTACATGTGCTACTTATTTTTGTGTTGCTGCTGTTGGACGTGTTCAAGTGATGTGGTTCTTGTTAGAGCTCTTTGTAATTTTGTCGTTCCACTTTATAGAGTCTGACAAAAGAGCGTCGTCTTTAAGATTTAAAGGGATTATTTTTTATGGTTACTGTTTATTTCAAACGAGTTTATTTTACCTGGGATATTGTTGCTTTCTATCGCACTCTCAGATCGTTTTTATTTTCACAGTTGCTAAGAAATATACAGAGGGGAAAAAGTAGGCCACGGCGAGATTTGAATCCACATCCAGTAACTTTGAGAGCCCGCTTGACAAAGATGATATTTTACCAGTGTGGTCACGGAGACGAAATACAAATTTAGACATATAGCTACTATACTATTTACATTATTTAAACTGCAATATGGACACTGGTAAAAATGGTTGCTGAAGACGTTAGCTTTATAATACCCAGAAATTCATACGCAGATGTCATCAAGGCAGAGAACTTGGAGAGGGGAATTAACAGGAGATAACTGATAACTGACATCCATTAAACATGGCACGTGGAACCAGAACAGTCTAACCCAGTGAGCGAAATAAAGGGTTCAGTTCGACATTCCAACCACCTGGAGAAGGCCGGAGCATACAACGGCTGAAACGTTGTAATAAATATGGCAACAAAGATGAGAACAATAGTCCGAATAATGTAAATAGTGTACATAATGCCTCATCTCAGAAACATTGACAGATATAGCTACTTTATTCAGTTTTTATTCGCTGTATAATTTGCAAGTAGTAGTAGTTGTTCGAACAGCCATAACTAGTTTTAATTGTCCTTGATCTAAGCTTTCAGTTTACATGAGCCATTATCAGAGTGCCCGTAGTCAGTGGGTAGCGATAAGAAAAGAAAAAAAAAAAAAAACAAGGCTCACATGCTGTCGGTGCTATTGGCATATTTTCCTCTGTTGAGGGAATTTAAGGAATTGTGTTATATATAGGTATACGTGTGTGTGTGTGTGTATGTGTGTGTGTGTTTTCGTGTTGAATTTTAAAAATAATGAAAATTTTAACATATTTAAGAAATCTTTGGCAGGAAAACTAATTAACCTGACTGCTGATCTCGAAAAGGGCCTCAATCTGTGGTTGACTGGGTCAGCAAATGGCTTGTAAACTTTAATGCCTCCAAAACGAAACTGCTCTCCTTTACCCATCACAGGGAACCCTCCCTGCCTCCATCAGAATGGCTAATTCCCAACTCCCCGAGAGCGCCTCGTTACGCCTGCTTCGTCTCACGCTGTCCACTGACATGTGGTGGAATAAATACATTGAATCAATAGCTTCATCTACCGCAAGGAAAGTTGGTTCTCTGAGTCGGGCCAGAAAGTTTTTCTCGTCTGAGTCCATCCATCAAATCTATAAATCAACCATCCGTCCTTACATGGAATATTGCTGTCATATATGGACTGACGCTCCCGCTGTAATCGAGGTCCTCGACAAAATCCAACGACGAATATGCAATATGATCTGGCATCTAGTCTACAATCGCTTTTCAACAGACGTGCCGTGGCTTCCTTCTGTCTCTTTTACAAGTATATTCACGGCAAATTTTCCGACGAGTTACTGTCGCTGGTTCCTCGACTGCATGAATTTAAGCGAGCTAATTGGCTGGCATCTCGGTCCCACCCTTTCAGTCAAAATGGTTAAATCTAACCGTCTCTTCTACTCAAACTAGCTTCTTCTCTCGCACTCCCCGTCTGTGGAACTCCCTTCGCCTTACTTGCTTCCCCGATGACTATAATCTTCAAATATTCAAGTGTAATGTCAATTGACATCTGACTCCCTGAGCTTATTCCCCGTCCTTCTCTATATCCTTTCCTCAAACATGCCTCTTTACTCTTGTTCTCAATCCTCTGTAACCCCTTGCGTGCTAATAGCACTCCCAACTTGCTTAGGGTGAATTGCTTTAAAAAAAGGGTATCACGATTTATATAAACAACTCATTACAATGCTTATAGAAGCACCAAATAATAATAATTATGTAACGTCCCCATCTTTGAGGGTCACACGGTGTTTTCATTTTGTTTGCCATATATTCCCTTGACTATTATCTGCTTTCCAGTGATGCTAGTTAGTCTCTGGGAAATCCCCATTTTTTCTAGTGTTAATCTACAAATGTCAATGAAAATAATGTTGGTTTTGAAGGCGTTAAAATATTTGAAATGACGTTTAAAGAGTCTGTTATATGTAAGAATCAGATTAAATCGCACTTCAAATAGATCTGTGGATCCTCTTTCAAAACAGTTTCCTTCCGATTTTAGTATTAATTTTGACGTCTTTTCCTGATCTCCGATAATCTGGATAGAAACTTGAGCATCAGTCCCAGCGAAACGTTGAGTTCCGGTCGTTATAAGGATTTGGTACCGTTTTAGCTTTTCTGTAAAAAGAAAGAGTTGAAATGAAATACACGGTTCCAAGAGAAAATGAACGCATTGAGAAGAAATTATCTCATTTATAGTAGCGTGTAAAGGAACATTTAGGTAACATAAAGTGCTATTCAACAGCTAAGATAAGAACATAAGAAAAAGTATTACAGCCGACTTTATAATTACCGATAATACAACTATGAGATCTAGTCTTCAGACCACTAATCTAATATGTCAATTTTATCGAGCAGTGCAAGGCTGTTTTCCTTGAAATAAAGATAAAAGCTCAAACGATTGCATTGGTCACATGACGAGTTTTAAGTAGACGTCTAACTACTTTGATGATCATAGTTCAATAAGGAAGCATTTAAACATTCAGATTCAACTTCCCACAAGAAAAATATTTGTAGATAATCTAATTGTAAAAGACGTTTAAAAATATTTTTTATGCTACAGACTTACATTTTATAGGTACCTCCATGAAATCGCAAAAAAAGAGCATAGCATGATGAAAAAGACGCCAAAATTGACGAAAAGAAAATGTTATCGTCTAAATGTTTATGTTATTATTAAGAGGAAAGAACAAAGTATTTTTTTAATTTTTTTCCTTATTTTTAGAACATTCTAACTTTTGATTTAAAAAAAAACGCCTAGATTCTCTTTGTATAAGCGAAACTACTAAATAACATAAAATTTTAGCACTCTTTTCTTTTGTATGACAGACATTAATTTGGAAAATCTTGCAAAAATAAAAATAATTGTCGAATGTTAATGAAACTTTCAGAAACTATAAAGTCATGGCTATTTTTTTTAAATATTTATTAACCTCCCCACAACTAATTTTATCAAAACTCTAGAAATTCAATGGTCATTTTAGTGATCATATTAGTTAAAAACACAAGGCTCTTAGGAAAGCAAATCATGTTTTTTTTTTTAATCGGACCCCCTACCTGGAAATCAGCTCTGAACTGTAACCTACAAAACTCAATAAAACAAAAATATTTAATTTCAAATGCTTTCAGTTGCTTTTATGAATATGGATAATATTGTCAGAAAGCAAAAAAACTTTTTCGATGAAAAATGAATTTTTAAAACAATTATTTGTTATTTCTTAAATTATTTTATTTTTACATTAAAGTTGTTAAATATTATAAAATTAGGGAAAACAGTGTTCAGTTTAGTCAATGGTGTTATTAAGTAGATCTATCTTTTAGCATTATAAGTTGTATACCTTATAACAATCAGAAAAGCCACACTGTATAAAAAAAATTAATTTCAGATGGCTTTTGTGTCCATAAAACGACTGTAATTCAAATGTACGGAAGACCAGCATGAATACAATAAAAGTCGCGTTATTTGAGTTAAGCGTTGTTCTCCGCTGTTACGGTCTTTATTTTTGAGAATTGTTCGTGCGAAACACGTGTGGAGAAGTTAATTTGATTTTTCCATTTCAAATGAGAACGGTACCTACAAGTATTAGTATCATCTTATAAAATTTATATGATCTTATTTTTATATTATCTCAGTCATAACATTTTTCCATGAATGAAATATCAAAATTAATAATAAATTGAATGAAAATACAAATAAAACAGTAAAATGTAATAAATGTACATAAAATTATAATATTTTATGTACACATCTGATAAAATTTCATAAGAAAGGTACCTATAAATTAATTAGATACATTTTTTATGAAATTTAATCTTACTGTCAACAGTCTTATTTTAATTTTTTTATAATATAATTTCCATAAAGCATCGTAACGTAACGGTGAAAGCTAACCACAAAAAAAAAAATAAAATAAAAAAAAAAAAAATTAGGGTGCTGAAAGTTTTCCTTAAAAATAACGAGGTAAATAAGTTGGTTCGCTTAAAACTAAATAATTATGTCACTTCCGTCCTTCCGTACGGTAACTTTCCCTTAAGAAAGCTGTCAAAACGTGATGAAATCATCAATCGTCACTCATCAAGTGGCACCAAATGTTAAAACCTGCTTTGTTTTATTTTTAAACGACATTTTTTCGGCTGAGAAAGTAAGTAATATTTCTTTCCAAATATTTAAAATAAACTTTCTAATTTCTAATTTTTTTAAAATAAATTTTGAAAAAATAATAATTGATTTTTAAAAGAATTTGAAACGGAGACTTTCATTATGTTCATAAAATGGGAAAAAAATGATTGATATGATAGATTATCTGTCAATTTTTCTGACTAAAAAAAACAAAACAATTTTAACGAAAATTTTGGACGTGCTAGGAACGATTAAAATATGTAAAAATATACTCCCAAAATATTTTGCTCTTACCTCTTAATAATAACATAAATATTTAGAAAATAAAAAATTATTTTCATCATCATTATTTTCATGCTATGCTCTTTTTAGCGATATCTCGGAGGTATCTAATTCAACATTACTAGCTTTGAAACTAACTAAAATGTATTTGGTGTGCTTAAAAGTCATCCCAATATAGAATTATTCCTGCTACTATATAACATAGCATCGAATATAAACACAACAATATACTGACAAAGTATTTATTGTGAGTATATTTTTGTGTTTGTATTCTATGCTGTGTTATATAGTAGTTGGAGTAATTTCATGTTGTGTACATTTTAAGTTTTTTATTCAGTTTTTATAGTGTCATTACAGTTGTTCCTTTATGATTACTAAGTGTGTGTAGAAACAATCCGTAGTGATTATTGTCTCAAGCGCTTACGGCTAATCACTACAGACAATTTCGGCACTCTCTTAATTCTCATAAGTGAAAAAATGTAAGGACACTAGAAAAATGAATAAATAACTTATAAAATTTTCCTTGACCGTCATATTTATTGAAACATATATAAAAACGCATTATATATATAAGTGTGAAACAAAATATGAAATTTTGAAGTTATGCAAAAAGATATTTTCTGTTATTTGTTATTTAAAAAGTTATCGGTTTGAAGTATTGCGGTCGTTCAGCAACAAAGGTTTATATAGAATCATTGGAGGTATTATGTTTCAGACTAGCCCCCAAATCATGCTCTGATCTAAGAATGAATATTTTTTGTTCAGTCAGAAACAAGATATAGTACTGAAATTATTTTGTCTAGCACTAAGAATCTATTTGAACGGGATATAGATGTGACTGAAACTTTAAAACTTAATGTTTTTGACACAAGAAAAAATTTCTTCCTATCTATTTGACTTTGTGGCAAGTTATTGATCTTAGTATATATCACGGATTTAAAATTTTATCAAATTCTAATGCAGATCTTAATTACATATAACCCAAGTCATATGAAACCTTTTCCATCGGTCAAGCCAAAGATAGATTAATTCCTACTTTGATATCCTGACTCTTCGAAAAGGTCAATTAAACCGAGAAATTCTTTAATTATTCGCCCACGTTAGGAAAACACAATGGTGTCATACGATCTGAAATGTCATCTTAAATGTTGGGAGAAAGGTTATTTGATTAGTCAGACATTCTCATTTTCTTCATATCAGCGATATGGTTTAGCTAACACTGCATTTATTTTTAAATAATGGATTTTAGAGAGAGATCAGATTTTTGTTAACTGAAGTTTTCAAAATTTTTCTGGAAAAATTATACACTTAAAGAAATTAATTATATCGAATAATGAAGATTTCATATTACTATTGATGGACACTCATCCTGGCTGAGGCATTACTTCTGTTAGTATTTTTTGCTTTTAACATGAGATTGATGATGCGTATCTAAAACCACTTTCCAATCGCAAATGTTTGTTATATCGTGTCGGCTTAAAGTTAAAGAAATAGAAGTATCTTTGCGTGCATATTCTGTAAGATTTGTATGTGTAGAGAAGTGATTATTTTATTTCATTTTTTGAGGGTGAAAATTATGTTTGAATATAAAATGTACATTCGACACAGTTTATTCTCCATGCTTAATCTTGGAAAAAGTTCAACGGAAGCTAGCCAACTTATTGAATCTTAGGGAAATGATGCATCAGGTGGAAGAATGTGTCGGGGTTAATTAATGAATTTAAAGGAAAAAGAAAGTTTGAGCGAGTTTAAAAAAAAGAAAAAGAGAGTTTATTCCCCGAAACTAACCTTAAGATTTTCATTTTGTTTCACACCATGTAACGAATGCTTGTTAGCAGTTTCAAAATTTTTAAAATACCGAAATATTTCTCGCAAATTTCATCCAATCAAAATTGGAATCGTTATTTTATTATGAAATGCGCAATTTAGATAAAATGTGATCTAAAGTAAAACTTTGAAAGCTGGAAGGAAATACTTTATTGATCATATAATAATGTTATGAATTTATATAAATAAAATATTATGTGAAAAATAGTACACATTTTTGCATCAAACTAATATTAGATTCTCGAAGTGGAAGCCTTTGTTTAAGAGGGGAGCGAGAGCAGAGCTGATAATTTCTCGAATTAGTTTACTACATTTGAAGAAGGCTATGTGTTATAATGAGCTATAATGCCTATATATATATATATATATATATATATATATATATATATATATATATATAACATTTTGGAGCTAGTCTAGAACAAGATGACTCCAATGATACTTTATAAACTTCTGTTACTATTGAAATATCTTTCACTATTGCTGTGAGTGTTATGACGTATAAAAAGCTGAAAGACAGCAAAATATGGATGCCAACATTTAACTTTCTAATTTAAAAATATTCATGATGTCTGAAAAAGTACTTTACATCATTTTAAAAGAAAATACTTGTCTGCATGGTGGTAGCGGTAGCTGCGTGATTACGAATAACAGTGTTTTAATGCAGGCGGAGCCCTACATTTAAAAGATTAGCGTAAGACAAACTTCTGATTTAGATGTTTGTGGTGCTAAATTTGTTTCAGAAAATTCATTAAGAAACAAGAATATTAAAATATTGATTAAAGTAATATCATAAAAGAAAATGTATGCGTTTACAGGGTATACAAAAAGTCTGTGTATTAAATTTAAATATTTCCTATTGATAGTGTCTTTTACTTTGATTTTAAGGTTTGATTAGTGTTATGTCAGTACAAATGAAGAAAGAAGTATTTGGTTGCATGATCTTGCCGTTCGTGGAACTTTTCGTGAGGACGACATCCAGCATTAATAGCTTACGAAACTAATCATGGTGAGAATTCTGATAGAAAGTGTTTATTTCTAGTTCTTTTGTTGTGAATAGAACTAGCATTGAATGGTTTATCAAGTTAGTAGGTTAATCACAACAAGGATGAAACGTCTGAAAGTTAAACTCATTTACAATAGCATGCAAGATTAGCATGATGGTCGACTATACTACAACAGAAAACCCTTAAATATACATGGTATATTATATACTTTATTCTAAATTTTAGTGAATAAAACACACACACGCGCACGCTCTCACACACACATATATAGTATTGTATTTGGGCATCAATCCTTCTTTCATACAATTTTCTTTAAAGAAAACTGACAAGCTACTGCGATTAACCTTTTTAATCAATTTTTCTTGCATTCGCATAAGTGTTTTCTTTCCTGGGCATAAAGTGTGTAAAAACTGTCCCAATGCTCTATATATTCGAGCACTTTCGGCTATTCTATTACCCAGTATCATAGGTCCTTTTTATTTTTAAATGAATATGTAGATTTTATATATGTGCATCTATAGTGATAGGATTGATTTTATTTTCCAAACATGGTCAACACGTTGTAGCCGTGTTCATATTTGATATTATTGAGTTGACTTTTTCTTTTTTTTATTACTAATGCTTCCATTATTTTAGCCGTTTCTTACATGTTTTACAGTCTGTAGAGTGGATTGACAGAAACAACATCAAAAACGTAAAAGAATTTAATTGTCTGGACAAAATTTAGAACGGATTTGCAATTAATCGGGAACATTCTAGTCAAATTTTGTATTCAAGTGCGGTTGATATAACGACATTAGAAATTAATTTCACCTATTGATATTGTGATGATTCTAAAAATAGTAATAACACTGGTCTAACAAATGATAATTTTTGAACCCACCGTCAAGTATTTAATGCAATGTATTCTTCGTGATAGAAATTGCTGTGTAATTTTATAAAGTTTTGATTTTTTCCTTTTAAGGCTAACGAAACGCTGTATATATCTACTTGTCAGAAGTTAACATTTGCGAAATTAAAAAAAAAGTTTATTTACCTTCTTTGCTAGCTTCTGTGGCATAATTTTGCGCTTCTATTTCGCGCCATAATTTCCCACCTTCAGCGTCATTTGCCAACCAGCCATAGACAGGAAAAATGTACACAGATCCAGACGAAGCCTTCTCATGTAAGCTTTCAATTGTGATCTATAAGTTAAAGAAGAACCAAGTTTTATTTTTTGACAGTAAATAAATAAATACTGGCATGCTTTCACTTATTTTACGAAGTTCATTGCTCCATATACTGAACAAATAAATATTAATATGTTCTGATATTTTTATAGTCTAGAATAAACTTTTTATTTCTTTTATCATGCATTTAACCGATACAGCGAAGGGATTCTTAGCGAAATAGAAGTCCTACCCACATTTATTATTGGTGGGTGCACAATAACCAACGTAAGTTATGCAAGTGAAACCGTGTTGAAGGCAAACACAAAAACTCAAAGACAAGGTAGTAAAAGAAATCGGGGAGAAAGGACCAACTATCAATTGTAAGGAGACATAAAATACTGTTGTAAGCAAGATGGACAGTCCAAAATGAATGTGAACTGCAAATTAGAAACGCCAAAATCAAGCAAAGACAAAATTTTAATTTAATTTTATTGGGGAGTGTTATTGTATACACGAGAAAATTTGAGACAGGAATCCGAAAGCGCATTGGAACAGCGAAAGATGCTGTCCAAAAGCTAAAGAAAATATTACGAAACAAGAATATTTTGTTAGAAACAACGAAAAAGTGCTGAACTATTATTTAATATATATCCTGTATGGCATTGAATGCAGGACAATTTCCTGTCAATATCCCAGCAGCTACTATGTAAAAATATTTTAAACTGTTAAAAGCTATATTTCAAATAAAAATGCTATAAAATCCATCTTTCTTAAAAGACAAAGACTTTTTGTAGCGTAGAAATTACTGGAACAGACTTTGTATACCAACTGCATCAAATATATTTTTTTTACAATTGATATTTACAATGTTATAACATCGATCTTTAAATATATAAATTCATATTATTATCACTTAAACGTTATTTTTAGTGGATACCCATGTTTGAGCAGATGCGCCGTTTATTAAAAAGCATATTCATTTGTTTTCGTCTACCGGCCTGAATATTCGAGAAATCTTATTAAAGAAAAATATGCGCTTTCTGGCAAGAGACCTGCGTCCCCCCTTGGCAGATGAAACCGTTGTTACATCCGACGTACTTTAGACCGTTTCGGCCAGTGTGCGTCGACGATCAAGCAAAGTTGAATAGTGATTTATGAAGGCAAATCTTTCTTAGACTCTCGAAACTTTCATATCTGTTCAGCTTTGTATCCTAAAGTAAACAAAGCAATCTCTAAAGAAGTGATGGATTTTTATTTATTGATCCGACATATTTTTATCACTTAAACATTATTTTTACTTATTTATAGTTGAGCAAACGCCCTGTTTATTTTATGCTGGAAATTGCATATTTTTCTTTAATAAGATTTATCAAATATACAGACCAGTAGATGAAAATAAATAAATATGTTGTTTAATGAAGAAAAAGAGCTGCTACTCAAATGTGGGTATCCATTAAAAATAACTTTTAATAAAACTCTGTCGGATTAATAAATAAAAATCCATCACTTCTTTAGAAATTGTATACATTCATATAAAAATTGATATCGTTAAAATCTTTCGATCTATAGATCTGAATTCTATGATTACCTTGTTTAAATACCATCCGGCAGCTATGCCTTTATTATCATGTTCAATCCTACAAAAAACAAAAACAAAGAGCATTCATAACATACAAAGAAAGCTTTCAAAACATTAAATATTTCTTTTAACAGAAATAGACCTTAAAAGAAGAAAACATTCCTGTTTTTTTTAGGTTTCATTTTTTTTATTTTGTAATTACTTTAATACTTTGTTTTCTTCAGTCTTCTCTTCTTTCTTCTGATGTACATTTCTGATCTTTCCATTCATTTATCTGTGACCTTTAAATTTCATTCTTACTTTGATGGATTACATAGAAAATGTGGTGATATCAAAATCATAATACTAGAAAATTAGGAATAATATCTTTTACACACACACACACACACACACACACACACACACACACACACATATATATATATATATATATCTTTCTTTTATGTGCAATGTCCTTTCAGGACGTAGGCGATCATGACTCTCCACCTCCCTTCATCCCTTGTAGCTCTCAACAAGTTCCTTCCCTCTGCTCACGCGCTGCTTTCCCTCTATTCGACCCTCTCTCTTTCTCTCTATTCGGCGGTTCTCCGGATCCTCCTCCCTCATTATATGTCAGCTGCCTCTTCCTGATGTTAAGTAAAAGTCTTCTTGTTTGCCACCTTCCTAAGACCTCATCTTTGCTCACACGCTTGGTACATGATATCCTTCGCATCCGTCGCCCTGAGTCTCTTCTTCATCATTGAAGAAATCGTCCAATATTCGCTGCAGTAAAGAAGGAGAGATGTCACGTAACAGTTCAGTATTCTTTTCTTTGTTACCAAAGAAATCCACCTGCCTTACAATACTCTGCCCAGCTTTTGGAATGTGTCCTTGGCCACCCCAATACGTCTACGGATCTCAGTCGTACTTACCGTCCTCTGTCAAAATGCTTCCCAGATATTTAAACTTCTGCATCTACTTGATTCTAGTGTTCCTGACCGGCAAATCGCATTTCGGACTCTTCCTCTTACTAATGACCATGCATTCCGTCTTCTTGTAGTTTATGCTTAGTCCTTTCTTCTCGCTCTCCGTCATTACCTTCTGTAAGAGATTTTGTAATATTTCCCCCTGACTTCTATGAGTTCTGTGTCATCTGCGTATTTTATGTTGGTAAGGTTGTGGCCACTAATACTAAATCCCGGTAGGGTTTCCAATTCTCCCAGGATTGACTCGCTGTATAGGTTGAACAGGCCAGGTGAGAAAACTCATCCTTGCCTTACGCCCCTTTCTATTTTTGTATATTTACTGAATCCGTTCCCTATGCGAATGCATGCTGTTTGCTGCCAGTATAGGTTCTTGATTATTCTGATATTTTTCCTGAATATATCAAGGTTTCTGAGGAGTTCCATCAGATCCTTTGTCGAAGGGCTTTGCGTAGTCTATGAAACATAGGTGCACATCCTTCTGCATCTGTACCGCTCTTTCTGATAACATTCTGAGCATGAATATCGCGTTCCTTGTTCCGGTGTCTTTAACGAACCGGCACTGTTCTTGTCCTATCTCCGGGCTGATTCTGCTGAGCGTTCTGTTCATTAAAATGCGGATGATGAGTTTTGTCACATGGCTCATTAGGCTTATTGTTCGGTGGTGTTCGCATTCGTTTGCATCAAGTTTCTTAGGCATAACTATGAAGAGAGATTTGCCGACGTTTTCTGGTATATCTCCGCTGTTGTTTTGGTGATCTTGTCTATGCCAAAGTCATCTAAATCTGTCCAATATACTCGCCCCAGCGTTGAAGAATTTTTTTTCTTTTCTAATATGAGCGTTCCATCCTTTGATTTTAGACAGCCTGTTGATGAGCATGTCCAGTCCTGTTGTCTTATTCGTTTGTGCATGTTTCTTTTGTTGGTAGTACTCAATCTTTCTATTTCTGCACATTTTTCCTTTAGCCATTCTTCTTTAGCTTGCCTGTATTTGATCCTTATTTCATTGTGTAATTTTATGTACTCCGTTACGTATCTTGGCAGGTGTTCTGTCGCCTTTCCATCATGTCGAGGATCTCATCAGTCATTCAATCATTTTTCCGTCTTCGTCCTGTCTCCTTTGGGATGATATCGTTTGCTGATGTCACTAAAGCGTCTCTTAGTGCGTCCCATTTTGAATTTCCATTGCGTTCCACGTATCTTCTCTTCACATTGTCCATATATTTTCTTTTAGGTTAGGATCGCTCAGGAGTTTGTTGCATTGCATTTTGGGTGCTGCGTTAGATTTCTTCAATTTCCGCAGTTTCACTCTTAGTTTACATATAAGAGGGCGATGATCGTTTCTACAGTCGGCACTTGGGTAATGAGTTGGTCGTCAACTTGAAACCCCCAAAGCGAGTGGAGGTGGGGAGGCGCGGGAATTGGTAGCTGGCTTCTTGGTGTTTTGCATAGGCAAGTTACCAAACTCTATGTAAAAGGCTGGAATGAGGAGGGCAGTTTTTTCTCAGAAGTGGAGACTGTGCCCGTCGCTACGACAGCAGGAGAGAAAGAGACGAAATCATTTATTCTTTTTTGTGACACGTTTCAACAGAAGCTATTTCGGCATTTACTTTGTCTCTAGCAAGATGGCGGAAAGACCGTTCGACATAGACCTGATCCTCGAATTCAGTGGTGATACGAGTGGAGAGTCTGTGGTTGAATGGATCGAAAATGTAGAACTGGTCTGCGAATTATGCGAGATCACGAAGATTGAACTGATTCTTCCACTGCGCTTGAAAGGCGGCGCTCTTGCTGTGTATAGGCAGCTGAGCAAAGAACAGAAAAGTGACATTGAGCAAATAAAGCGCGCTCTACTAATCGCGTTTGGAACTGACCGGATCGTGGCCTATGACCAATTCCAGGCTCGGTGTCTGTGACCTGGCGAGACAGCAGACGTATATTTGGCGGAATTAAAGAAGCCCGCTGTACCTATCGCACCGCTTCCTGAAGAATGGATGACCTGTGCCTTCGTGTCTGGATTGCCTAGTCATGTTAAGCAGATACTCCGCGCATCATCTAGAATGGAAAACATGACGCTCAATTAATTGTTGACCAGAGCCCGTGCTATCATGATCGACGAAATAGAGGCTGATGAAGCAGTGGCCGCAGTAGTTCAACCAATTGAAGTCAAAGAGGATCCGACCCCATCCATTCGTCGCCATAGCGATGTCACCTACTATCGGTGCTCTGGGCCGAATCATTTTACCAAAGACTGCCGTTATCAACGCGAAGAAATGCGCAGCAGGTCGGCGCAAAAGGCACGTCTCGATCTACGGTGTTTCCAATGTCATAAAGTAGGTTACATTGCCTCTAAGTATCCGGGAAATGGAATGGGGGACGCGACGTCAGCACCGGTCTCTTCCCCGCACCGAGCATGAAAGAGGCACTTCGTGTGATTAAGGTGCGCATCAATGGAATAACGCGTACCGCTTTAGTAGATTCGGGCTGCTTTCGGTCACTCACGAACGGTTCGATTTGTCGACAGTGGAGCAGACAAAAGATGGACGTACTAACGGCCGATGGAAAGGCTCTTAGAAGCCGGGGAGTTGGAAACATCAAACTCAGTATCAACAACGGTAACCCCGTCACAGTCAGTGCGTTGGTCGTGGACAGCGCGTTATTAGGTTTTGAACTGCTCCTTGGGATGGACATTATTAAGGAGCTGGGCGGCGTACGCATCACAGAGGCAGGCGAAGTCGAGTTTTCTGATCCGCCCATCTGTGCTGCTTTGAGAATTAACGAACCTGACTTCAGTGCAACTTTCGACCAGCGCTTGCGCGTATGGACCGCAACGTGGAAGTGGGTGGGTGGCCGAACGCCCGCGCCACTGAAAAATAAAATAGCAGAGTACCCGGTTCCAGAGCATATCAGGAGCGAATACGAAAATGAATTGCAGCTTTAGATAGCAAACGGCTGGCTTGCGCCGTACCCCGAGGAGGAGCTAGGGCCGCCTCGAGGACTGATTCCGTTGATGGCAATAGTGCAAGAGAATAAGGGGAAAGTGATACCGGTCATGGACTACAGGGAATTGAATAACTTTGTAGATGCATATACGGCCAACGCGGACGTTTGTGCCCAGAAATTGCGGGAATGGCTACAGCAAGGGAGCAACGTGGCCGCCCTCGATTTAAGAAGGACCTACCTCCAAGTCCGAGTCCACCGATCACTCTGGTCCTTTCAGACTGCCATGGTAAAAGGACGGAGATATTGCCTCACTCGATTGGAATTTGGTCTTAATGTGGCCCCCAAAATCATGTCAACGATTATGAATGTGGTTTATGTTACAGGATGAGAAAATTCGAAGGGCAACGTCATCCTACATTGACGATGTTTACGTCAATGAAAACGGGGCCTCTTCAACGAGGGTTAAGGAATATCTAGAGCGCCTTGGCTTTGTGTGCAAGGCCCCAGAGCCGCTGCAGGATGGAGCGAATGTACTTGGACTACACATCAGTAGTGATGGAGACGAGGTAGTGACGTCCCGGAAGTCCCGCCAGTGATCACTCGTCGGAGTACCTTCTCCATGTGTGGGAAACTGGTAGGCCATTTTCCCGTATGCGGTTGGCTCAGAGTGGCGGCAGCAGCCATAAAGCGCCGCGTAACTTCTGTTTCGTCAGGATGGGACGACGAGGTGCCCGACGTTACCCTAAGATGCATGACAACTGAAACTATGGAGGGAGTGATGCAAGATGATCCCGTGCGAGGTGACTGGTGCGTTAAGGGGAACGAGCTCACCGTTTGGGTGGATGCAAGCTCGTTGGCCATGGGTTTCGCCCTTGTGGATAACGGGTCCATCATAGAAGACGCCTGCTGGCTACGACCTGAAAATGATGCACGACACATAAATCTGGCCGAACTAGACGCCACTCTGAAGGGGGTTAACCTGGCGCTCCAATGGCAAGCAACAGTACTACACATCGTCAAGGACTCAGCGTTGGATATCAGATGCACTTAGCAGAAGAGCGCGACTGACCACCAAGGCATCGAGCGAGATGTTGATACGAAGGCGGCTCGCCACGCTGACTGAAACTATCAAAGAGTACAACCTGTCTGTGGA